ATGTGTGCATATATATAAATTATGTGTGTATATATGTATGTGTATATGTTTATGTATATGTATACATATATATATACACAGTATATATATATATATATATATATATATATATTTATATATATCGTGTATAAAAGTTTATTATTATATCTATTATTTTATGGCCCATGCAAGAAGAATACTGCCTCACACTTGTATTCAATATATTCATATATTTGATGGTTTATACCTGTTCATCTCTAATTTTTATTATACCAAAACAGATTGTAGGCCTATCATATGACCATTCTTAATTGTATTTTTCGATCTTTCTTTTTAGATGTAAATTCGCTGCAGGACAAGCACATGGTAGACAGTTACCAAGATCAAATCAGTTCAACTCTTCTAGACTACACTACATCTAATTATTCAGGTATCCATGACAAATTTAGTCACCTCTTGCGTATCCTTCCAGAAATCCGTCACATAGCAACGCGGGCGGAGGACTTCCTTTACTGTAAGCATCTTAGTGGAGAGGTTCCTTTCAATAGTCTCTTGATGGAGATGCTTCATAGTAAACGAAAGTGAACGGGATTATATCGGTTGATTACATCTAATAAACACTGGATCATCTCGAATTTTGGTAGCAGCCATTGGAGCAATCTGGCGCCACCTAGAGACGATAGCTATGTAGAGGAGTGGTTCACTTACGGGTGGGGATAGAATTCGATTGGAGTGCTCTGCCACAAACGCCTCTCGACCGTAAGCTAAGGAGTCATGTGGATCAGCGACAGTATTTTCGGCTAAGTGGTGGGGCTATGTGGATCAGCGAGATTATTTTAGGCTAAGATGTCGGCTAGCCTAATCTTTTTTTAACAATGAGATTAACTTCTCTGATGTGTAGTACTATGTTGGTGCTTGCCATACTTGGAGGAAATGTGCAGATGAAGAAACAAAACTATAAGATTTATGTTGCAGCACGTGAAACGTGTGTGTGTGCGTGTAAATTACTGTACAAGGAATACTGGTAGTCACCAGTTCAAACTCAAGCAAAAACAGATTACTAACATAAGATTAAAAGTATGATAAGTAGAGTCTGCAGCTTTGTGGATGGTATTTTGTCCCTAGTTCTTGTCTGGTTTAGAGGTGGTTTATCCAGAGTTCCTATCAGGGATCTCAGACGATGGGTTACCTCTAGTCCCTATCAAGACTAGCAGATAGCAAGTTTGTTCAACCCATGTTGAGGCCAGGTGACGATAGGTTGACTCTAGTCCCTGTAAGAGGAGAATATTAAATTCTCAAAACCAAAGATACGAACCAAAGGTTGATTAACATTTGTGTTCGCTGTGTAACACTTTAAAATTGAAGAGGTTTAAACTTTGTACATGCATTGTGTGTGAATAGCTTCAGTTATCTTGTCTTTTATTAATCGAATTTATTGTCTCGTATACAAGTCTCTTCAAAGTTTTCTTGTGGTTTGTATCGACGTTATTAATTTAACGGTTCTCGAAAAAAAAATGGCGTACAACTATATCAACATCAGTTAGTATATTGGTCGTTGATATTCTTTAACTAATCTGTACATTTCTCTTCCCCCGTTAATTTCCTACCATCTATAGAAATATCGATAAAGTAATAACGTCACAAAATTTACGGAATCCACAGAAACTGTTTATGATTCATATTTTTTCATATTCCAGATGAGATACTGTGCAATATATAACACATATCACTCAAATTATTACCGTAACGAAATTTAATAATTGTTTGATCTCCCTAGTATTACTTTGCAGTGTGACACAGGTAACATATCATTGAGTGAGACCTACTTAATTCATGTTCGGATAAATAGTTTAAATCAACAGGGTAGCCATTTCATATGACGTTTCAGTTTTTATTTCTTTTAATAGATGATGCAAAAACTAATGATATCTATTTATATATTCTGGAAGATGAAACCTAACATTTCCAGTACCAAAATTATATTTCTTCGAGGAACAAAGAAGGAGTCCTGCTCACTATGTTTACTCAAATTGTATAATTTGGTACCCAAGTGCTTGTTTTTATTTTCTATTGCTAAACCGCCATTCATAGACATCTTAACGTTAATTTTGACTATAACATTATCAATTTTGTATTGATTATGTTAGTATTTTTTTTTAATAAGATGACTGTTTAAACTTAAAGGAGCGTATTCCACAAAGACAAAGCTTTGTTTTAACTTTCAAAGCGTTTCCGTAGTTTCCAATGGTTCGAAGCTCTTTCTACGATAAAGACAAATTGGCTGGTTGGCTAATTTTGGTTCAAACCATAGTGATATAGATTTGTATCGTTAAGGGTTAGTATTAGATAACAAATCACTGTATATAGATATGGTTTTCGGAAAGCCAATATAAAAAATATTTTAAGTTTTGTTAGTGTCTCCTGCCATCCTGGCTTTAAGCGTAAGATCGAAAACTTGTACAGTTATGTGAATATTCACCGCACCGTTTAATAAATAATACTGTGAAATAATCAGTTTGCGTTCGTTGTTGTTTATAATTGTTTCATATTTTCAAGAAGATACGTGAATAAGACACACAAGACACCATCCATCACGCATATGTACTTAAGGCTTACATAGACACACACATTTGTTATTAAGCCTATGTTCGAAATAATGTTATCGCGTTCACCACATTTTCTTAAAGCATAAATACCGGTATATAATTGTTAATGTCCAACAATTGTATTTATATTTCTCTAAGCTGCGTAAACAGATTAAACCATGGAGGAATTAACTCCTCCATGATTAAATATTGATTAAATGTATTGATTTCTTAAATAATATTGTTAGTGGCTGATGTCTTAAGTTTATTTTTAAACCCTTTCATAAGTACTATATAAAAAGAATAAAACATAAACCTATTATAATTGTGCTATCTCCGAATACAGAAACCTGCGTACGGAAACGGATATCTATTGTATCATCGTATCTGCGCTTTGAAAAGAATACTCTAAATAGCGCCATCAATTACAATTATTTGAATTAGCTGTAGTTATTGAACGTAGGTTGCATGGCAGGAGACACATAATGGGGCTGCATTCAATCAATTTGAATTCTTACGAGAGGAATAATAACTGCAAATGGTTAGATTACCCTCAGAAACATCGACTCAGAGATAAAGAAGTTGATGCAGAGACGGGTTATAAATCAGCTATATGAAAGGGACTGCCTGTCAATAATACGCTTTAATATTTCATGGAAATTTAATCTTTAAAATGCTAAGTATCATGTCTTGTATTGTGAAGGTACACCATGTAGTGATGAAAATAATTAGATGAAGATAATTTGGTAAGTCTTCCTCGAATGCTGATGTTAAGTCGTGCCAACACAGCTTACATAATATTGTCAATAAATAACAAAAATTAAATTTCCATTCCATTTCACCTGAAATGTACTCGCTGCCCTACGTTTTCGATTAATCAATACATTATTTTTGTAGTCCTATTTTTGAATTTGAAATTCATATGGATATTATAAATAACTAAATAATAAAAAAAGTTAATATTAGACTATTATATTGTGATTAATAACGAAATGTGACATAATAATAATTTTTTACATTTTATTATAATTACAGTTTTATTATTATCATCATCATTCGTTCTAAAACCTATATAAAATTAAGATCTTCCATGCTATTTTTATAGTTTCTTCGTATAACATCGACGAGTAGGTCTAACGAGGGCTAGACCTGATAGTTCTTTAAAAAAATAGTATCCTGCGCTGTTCTAATTTTAATGAGGTACCGGTATGGTAGGTGAGCGTGAGAAAATATCGATTTGTCACTCGATAAAAAAAAACCATATCCATAAATTACACAATGTACTGAGATTAAGGCGTAATTGTACAGATGAAAAAATAAAGAGGAGATTATGTCATGGTTACAGAAAACATCTAATGTTAGTAGGGCCTAGACCTATTTTTCTGTAGAGCTGCATGTTGTACCCTATTAATTCCTGGCCTACACTGTGTACCTGTCACGGTACGGTATGTACTGAAAGGTTTAAAGAATAAATGGAAATATTGAGCCACACAAAACGTTCGAGATCACAGTGTAATCCCAGTTTATTGTTGCAAGAAACCTTACAATCCCGGCTTAAAATTAACCATTGTTAGCCAAGAGAATCACTTGAGAACTTGGAACAATAAACTACGCATACTTACATTTGAAGAAGGATTGAATTTTGTGGTGTATTGTAGGCTAGCTCCATTAAAGTTGTATAAGCTAATGCCTAAACAGCTTACGTAACTCCACTGTGCCATGGGAAAAATTACATACTAGAATTTAATTAGGCCTATATAACATTAGATTCGAGCATGGAGGAAATATATTAATATATTTCCTCCATGATTCGAGTAACAACGTAGTATTATATAAAAACAGTGTACGCTATTTTTATGTAGCTGGCACCTACTATTAGCGGTTTACAATGATTTCAACCCTTGACCACCCCACCCCACTGCCAGTGAATTTGACTGGTCCCCAGTACGTAATGCTCATTTCTCCTCCTATATTGCAGTATCGCCAAACTATTGCATTATATAATAGACTGCAGGGGCGGATCCAGAATTGTCCGAAATGGGGGCCGAAGTGATCGAGATAACACTACCCTAGAGGGTCCGGGGGCATGCCCCCTCGAAATTTTTGTTTTGTAGGCGCCCGAAAATAACCTCTAAGGCACGCGTTTTGGGCAATTTTTTTTTCTTTTTCTTTCTTTCGTTTTCTTTCTTTGTTAAACTTTCCAAAAGTGGAGGCCTGGGCCGGCCCGTCCCCTAAATCCGCCCCTGGACTGGTGTTCAATAAAATAATAGTGTATTTATTCTTAAATCAAAAGTTTGCTATTGTGCATCCGTTACATGACAGTAAAATGCCTTGGTTCACAACCCTCAGATTTCGATAAAAAAACAAAACAAAACAAAAAACAAAGAACCACTGCAAGTTCCAAAATTTGATCCGAGAAATATAAGAAATTTTATAAAGATTGATTAAAATGTGAATTGTCTGATTTCTTGAGAAACGTGTAGATGATGTTCGGTATAGCACAGACCCTATTCCGACGATCACACCTCAGTGGCGTAGCTATGGGTTTTGGCGCCCGGGGGCAAGAATAGAAAATTGCGCCCCCACCCCATTCCCCACTCCCAATTGTAATTATAATATTTTGAAATAAATTGATATTGGTTGTATAATTTAAGCATATCCGTACCGTACGTCCATAATCATGCACTGTCTAAATAACATTAAAAACCCGAATAACTATTATTATTCTAGCTCTCTCATAGGCCTATGTCCTTTATTACCAGGGGTTCTGCCAGGATTTGCCAGAGGGGGTCCGAGTTCCGGGTGGAGGGCGAAGCCCCGACGAGGGGGAAGATTTCCTTGACGACAGCAAAGTGGGCGTGATCGAGCGTCGCTTAAAATCTTCCGAAAGTGCTCTGCGGGGGGCACAGTCCCGAAAATTTTTGAAATTTATGTGTTTCAAACGCTCATTTAATCGATTTTAGAGTCTACTAATATGTACAAAATACATATAATGGTTTTTCTCCCCGACGGTGGTGAAGGGGAAGGGGGGAGAGTTGGGAGCAGCACAAAATTCAGTTTAAACAATGTTAAAAAATAAAAAATTAGGCAACTTACAAGACTCTACTATAAGATAAATTTAGAGAATAAGAATACTAAGCTGTATGCGATAAATACAACAGCCTTACAAATTAGGATAATGGTAAAGTTGTATCAAAGTTCCGAACATCGTAATGACGCCAATCCCTCCTTCGGGGATATATCGAATTTTTTCATCTTCACTTGGTAGAGCATTCCGAAAAAGTAGAATAAAACTCTGAGTTTTTTTTTTCTCACCTACCCTAAGCCTACCCATTAACATTTAGGAGATTTTCGGCAGCATTTATGTATGCGAGTACGAACGTTGTTCGTGCAGGAAGATGTAAAAATTCGTGGTTCTTCTTGCTAGAATGTGTGAATTACAGTATACTAAAGATAAGGCTACCGTATTAGCTGTAATTTCAGAATCATGTACGTACAGTATCTCACCGGCGTTCACCGTATCTCGTTCAACCGTATCTTTAGATACAGCATCTTTAGACACAGCGAACGAACTACCACGGTATTTTGCAGATTTTCCAAAAAAAGGCATGAAAATTTATAAGAAGTTTACAACGAACTGTAATAATATAAATTTGTCCTGTAATGTTTTATTTGGATTAATTTTAACAATAATGAAGTTAAAAACAACTCAAAAAGGTAATTTTAAAGATGCTTTGGTTGATAGGCCTATTATAGGAACCAACGGGCCTATCCTAGGCCTAGTAGAATTGCCTCGAAAACGAGACCGTGGTCAAGCTATACAGATGTTATTGCAATCAACATGTGGCAAGTCAATTAACAGAAAGTTGTAACGGATGAGAGCCTTGCCAATCCGGTCATTTGTCAGCGTTAGCTTGCGGGGTAAAGCGCTTGTTTTCTATCAGGTGACCCTGTTCACATACGGTCGGTGTCGGCTTCGTAACAAGCGCTTGTTCGATAACTACGATCTCACCGGTGTAACTTACACCGTCGGAACACAGAATATGGCTTCCAGAAACAGCTGATGCCCTTGCTCTTGTTAAATGTTACGTAACGGATTCATAGGGTTTTGGACAATGGTGGTGAGACTCGACTTGTTGCTTTGGATGTAGGAGCCTATCTAAGGCTTTTGACAGATGTTGGTTTCGTGGCCTTTTATATAAAAGCAGTGGCGTATCTAAAGGGGTGCACGCCCCCCCCCCCAAAAAAAAACTCAACTCGTGGAAACTCGTTGTTTAACATTTTTTCAGTTTTGATGCATCTTTACAATCCCGTTCTTTTTTTTATTGCTACCCTTTTTGGATTTAGAACTACATTATTTAATATCTAAAAATTAAAATAATGTATGGCCTATTTTCAGTCAACAGAAATAAACTGACCTCATCTCTCTCGTATCTAAGCAAGAAACCCTGCAATGATCCTGCTAATCTGAATTGGCAGATTGTCAACACGCTTACCATCAACACCACCACTAATTTAATCTGCTGTTGTGTAAATACCCCCAACATCCTTGTCATGGAGCCATGTTCTCAACCATTACCTTTTCTTCATTCGTTTATCTTCGATTAAAAAAAGTGCCCCTTGAATTTTCCAATTTCTCATAAGTACCCCTTCAATTTTCATTTATTTCCATAAGCGCCCCCTCAATTTCCACTCTGTTTTCATAAGCGATCCGTTTGAATAAGCGCCCCTTAAAAAGAGTAACTAAAATAAAAAATATTTTTAACGCCTGAGCGCTTGGTCCCCCTGTCCCAAAACAGGGTCCTGGCCGGCTGGGCACCCCATTGCCTACTATATTATTATGATATGTCC